ATGTAAATAACATCGCAACCACCTGATTGCAAATACAAATTAACAATATAATTTCCACATCACAAATTAATAACGTAAAAATCACGTCGCAACAAAAGTTTTTTTTTTAACTGTGCAACCATTTTATTTAGTTAGTTTTTGAAAAGGAAAACCAAGATAATCTTATGGGTCCATCTAATATGCACCTCAAAAAAGTACTCTAAAAATGAATCTTTTACCAAAAACTTTTTCGTAAGTTACATTTTTTTTTTATTCACAAAATTAATTTCTTTATTTTAAATTTAAAAATATATATATATATATATATATATATACCCGAAATTGACATGCCACGCTTGCATAACTAACAAATATTTAAAAATTATGACAAAATCATTAATTTTTAGTTCAAAATTTATTAAACAAAAATCATTATTTTTTATTGGATTAAAAGAGAAAGCTTAAAACAATAACTAAACCCGACATTTTTAGTAATAGAATTTATAATTAAACAATTGAAAATTATATAAACTATTTTATAAATATTAATTAAAAATAAATAAAACTTAGATACAATTATTTAGGTGTGATTCTTACTAATTTATAATAAAAATATGATAAATATATAATTTCCTTTTATACATATATAAATTTCTCTTATTTTTACTGTTTAAATAATATTTAAATATATTTATCATATAATCATATCGCTTTTGCATTTTATCCTTATTAAATGCCATATAATCATATATAAAGTTGGAGCATCAAAACTACTCCCATCAGTGTTTTAAAACCCAACCCGACTCGGCCGGTCGGACCGGTTTGACCGAGAATCGGTGGGTCAGGCGGTCCGATTAATAGATAAGACCGGAATTACATTTAGACCGAATGAAACCGGTGTGAACCGTCCGGATCACCGGTTAAACCAGTGAACCGACGGGTTTGACTATTTATTTTATTTTTTAGGGCTTTTGAAAAAAAAATTAACATAAACGTTTTGCCTCATCGTTTCTCAAACCTAGGCATTTGAAAGGTTTTCTTTTTTATTCTGTCTTTTCTTTTTCTAATTGAAGTCATATTCTCAATTTTCTCTACCAACAAAAACTCCCACTTGCTGCTGTTATTTGATATTCCTTGTTTGGCGTCAAAAATTTCATCAAAACATCAAAAACAGGTTATTTCTTTTTTACTTATCTAATTTGCATTGATGTTTTTCAATATGAATATTATTGTTTCATTTTATTGATTAATTGATATAGAAAATAAATGATTAAATTTGATCATTTTCTATAAAATTGGGTCTTTTAGTTTAACAAATTGAGATAGAATTTGTATGAATGAGGCAGTTTTATACTTTTATGAATTAACTTATTATAGATTGGTAATGAAGTTGTTGTATATTGGAGATAGAAATTGAGATAAATATATATTACTGTAATAGTCGTTGTATATATTATGGAGATAGAAATTGGGTTTAAAACTATGTAATCTAAATTATATAGTAAGACAAAGTTTTCTGTTTTTTATTAATTTAAATTATATAACAAAGAAAAGTTTCAGGATTTTATTAACCTAAAATATATAGCAAAGGCTGGAAAGCAAAGTTTCTATTTTTTTATTATATATGGTGATGCACAGTAACGATGCTTGGTAGCCTATATGTAATATACAACAACATATTCATATATTTTGGATTTAGATATGCTACATATTTAATGTTTCTTATAATGTGTTTATAAATTCAATAATTTTTGTTTAGAATTGTGTTTTGTTAATATTTTTGTAATATAGTTTTGTATTTTTAAATTTTGATTGATATTAGATATGGCATCACCCGCTGAAGTAATAACTTCGGAAGAAGTTACATCTCAAAATCGAACCCAACTCCAGAGCAGTAGGGGAAAAACTGATATAGATTGGGATCATTGTAAACAAATTGAAGAGAAGGGAAAACTTGTTAATTTGTGTATTTACTGTGATAAAATTATTAGAGGAGGGGAGATTAATAGGTTCAAAATCCATTTGGCTGGAATAAAAGGTCAAGTTGAAACATGTAAAAAGGTGCCTCCAGATGTTCAATATCTAATGAAACAAAATCTTGATGAAGGTGCAAATAAGAGAAGAAAGACTCGAGCACAAAATTTTTATGTTGATCTTACTACTCAAGAGGGTGGTGTAGTAGAAATGGATGTAGAACAATCAAGATCAAATTCGGTGATTGTATCTCAAAAGAGAAAGAATACTAGTCGTATTGGTAATTATTTTATGCCTAGAACAACTCCTGGAGCTCAACCTTCTTTAAAAAGTGTGTTACAAAGTAAGGAATTGGTGAAGAAGTGTAATCTAGCTATTGCAAGATGGTTCATTGATTCTTCTGTGCCATTCAATGCAGCTAATTCTGCGTATTTTCAATCTATGGCTGATGCACTTTGCAGCATGAGACCGGGGTATAAAGTTCCAACTATGCATAGTCTTCGTGGCTATTTGTTAAATAAATGGGTTGAAGATGTGGACAAATTGATAGAGGAGTATCGTGAGATTTGGAAGAAAACTGGTTGTACTCTAATGGCCGATGGATGTACTGATCGAAAAAGAAGAACTCTTATAAACTTTCTAGTTTATTGTCCCAAAGGTACTATTTTTCTAAAATTCGTTGATGCTTCTCATGCTTCAAAAACTGCAGATATGTTGTATAAGCTTTTTAGAGAGGTGGTTTTATTTGTTGGGCCTGAAAATGTAATTCACATAGTGACAGATAATGCTACAAATTATGTTGCTGCTGGAAGGTTATTAGAAAATGAGTTTCCTACTTTATTTTGCTCTCCTTGTGCGGCACATTGCATTAACTTGATGTTGCAAGACATGGGAAATTTAGAGGAACTAAGTGAGACAGTGTCACATGCTTCTAATGTTACCAAATATATTTATAACCATTGTTATGCATTGTATTTAATAAGAAAGCAAACAAGTGGAAGAGAAATCCTTCGTCCTGCTCCAACTCGGTTTGCCACTAATTTCATTGCTTTGCAAAGTATTTTGTCTCACAGAAACTCACTAAGAGCCATGGTAACATCTAAAGAATGGACAAGCTCAACATATGCCAAAGAAGCAAAGGCAAAACAGTTTGTGGATCAAGTTTTAGATTATGGATTTTGGAGTAAATATGTTGATGTAGTTAAACTCACTGAACCACTTGTGCGTGTGTTGCGTATTGTTGATAGTGAAGATAAATCTGCTATGGGCATTCTATACAAATCTATAGTCAAAGATAGAGAGGAGATGGTGAGGAGGTTTCAAAGAAACAAGAAGAAAGTGGATCCTTACTTGAAAATCTTAGATAAACGTTGGGATTCACAGCTCCGTAAAGATCTTCATGCTGCCGGTTATTGGTTGAATTCAGCTTGTAGATATAATGATGTAGAATTTGAAAAACATGCATCCATAACATCAAGACTTTTAGATGTCATTGAAAAGCATGCTAATGGAAATTCTGAACTTCGATTGAAGTTAACAGATGAGATGATAATATTCAAAGACGGTGAATTAGATTTTGGAAGGAAATCAGCCATGGATGAACAATGTATTGTGAGGGCAGGTAATTTCATAACTTCTAACTCTTGATATATATTTTATTTTATATTTCAATATGTTTATAAATTTATTTAATCACATGGTATAGACAGATCAATGGTGGGAAACTTATGGCACTTGTACACCAACTTTGCAAAGGTTAGCTATTCGTATTTTAAGCCAAACTTGTAGTGCTTCGGATTGTGAACGCAATTGGAGTATATTTGAGCATATTCATTCCAAAAAAAGAAATAGATTGGAGCACCAAAAGCTTAATGATTTAGTGTTTGTTCGTTACAACTTGAGACTTCAAAATAGGTATTATTATGTTTATTTTTCTTTGATCATTATATTTTTATATTTAAATACATATACTTAGATTTAATTCATGTATTCTTAGGAAAATAAGAAATGGGAGTTATGATCCGATCAATATTGAAACAATTGCCGACCATTCTAGTTGGGTATTAGAGGATTCACCACCTCTCTTAACCAATGAAGAGTTGGAAGCATTGCGGAATGACCTTGCAAATATGACCATCCAACCAATTTCAAGTGATATTGGTATGTTCTAATATGAGCATAATATAGTTTGTGGTTGTGAATCAATTTAATGTCTCATATTTACCATCTCTAAATTTTTTTTGTTAATTATTTTTTAAAATATTGTTATAGATCAAATAAATTTAGATGAGGATGAAGATAGAGATATGGGTAATGTACAAGATATTATTGTTGATACTGTGAATCAATAAAAAAGCAACACCAGAGAAGACGAAGTTGGTGGAGAAGACAATAAAGTTGAAGATGAATATGAATATCAAGATTATGACAATTTGACTTCATGGACATAAAAAATTATGGATTGTTGAGTATGGATTTTTGTGACTTATTAATAATACTATAACTTATGAATTGTTAAGTTTCTATCACTTCTTTGAATTTATAATTTGCTACATTAAGTTTCTATCACTTATTTTGATTGTTACTAATACTTTTGTTTATTCTAAATTACTTGAATTTATAATTTTCTATATTATTATAGTTACAAATTTCAGGTAATGAATATATTTTTTATAGAAACCGGGTCAAAAGCTATGCAGTCTGACAAGTGTCCCACTGGTCCGACCAGTAACCCAGTGACCCAGTAACTTTACTTAGTCGATCACCGGTCTGGGTTTTAAACATTGAGTAGCTCACTGAAAAATTAAATTATTTTGTATATGTAATTAATTTTAATTATATGGAAATAATCCTACAACAATTTTTATTTTCGACGCCATTTCAAACTTATAAAGTGTAGCCAAAACTTTAGGCGACACTTTGACCAAATACTAAGAAAAGAGTTTATAACCGTTGAAACAAAATGTAGTGTAATTCTGAATTTATAATATAAGAAAATTCATTCTATCCATTCTGTCTATTTTATTCTTTTGTTCTAAAAACACAACATGTGGCTTCATAGCTATGAGGCAAAGGAAATATCTACAAATATTTTGATTTTGTTTTCTCAAAAACTCTCTTCCAATCAACACAAGGAGGTTGTGAAATTGGGAATTCAAAGCGGTTTCTAAATCTCCTACAACCGCAACACCATTTCTCCATCCACCTATTATCCCCGTTTCTTCCAAAACCTAACCCCCCAAACCCTTACTTCCACCACCATTTCTTCCTCACCCATAAAACAGAAACAGAGAAATCAAAAACGTAGTCTGAGGGAATTGAACGAGAGAGAACAAATTGCATTTCAACGCCATCAGGTTTCTTTTGTTTTGATGATTATTTATAAAATTGGAACGTAATATTTACAATATTGTAGTGTTTTAAATTATGCACTTAGTGAGGTGATGCATACTTTGACTTAATTTTTATGATTAAAAGTTATACTTTTGAATTCACATGTTATTTTCTTACTTGTTTCTGGTGATGAATACTCTACTTGCAACGAAACTCCGGTTAAATATGTCAATGGAGGTTTTCCCTTTCTAATTTATATAGTTTAGAAATGTGAAATGTTTAGAAACATATTATTTTGATTTTGTAATATGTGCAATATATTGATCCTTAATATATATTTTTTTAATATAAATCATATTATATTTTCTAACTATTTATCAGTAGCCAGCCAAAATTTGAGAATGATAGTCCGAAAAACTCTACTGTTACTTCTATTCTTCCTACGCGCGCGACACCGTGAGCAACACATTTTGTTTTTATTTTGCACATCCAAATCAAAATGTGGCACAATGCTGTCTCCGTTGGAAAAAGATAAGTAATCATCGTACATTATGTAAGTTTATCACAAATCTATTTTTTGGTTTATTCATGATTTTCCGTGATTAGCTCGTGATTTAACTTGAGCGCAGTTTGGTTTCTGTTTATTGGAAAGTCGTTCTATGGCAACGAAGAATGACAATAAGGATGATCTTTCGTGGGACGAGACAACGACCGGTGAAACTAAGCTATAAAGACTGCAATGACGATGACGGAGATGTCGGCCTGCTATTTTCCATTGATCTCACCATACTTGAAAATATAAGTGTTTTTACATACTTTGTTAAACTGGTCGCAATTAACTGGATCAATTATTTCTATGGATTATTTCTAACATAGACAAATCTTTTAATCATACTGGTATAACGTTAGAAGGGTGGGATTTCTGAATACACCCTCAATATTGAATTTAATGCTATAGAGCGCTTAAGTTTGTTCTTTGATATACACCTTGTGACGTTGAATAATAACTCTATATATTATGACCGAGTGGTTTTAAGTGTTAACACTTGATCAAACTTTATACAATACTGATTGATAGTGTATTAATTTCCTAGTGGTTGTAATGTTAATGTTTGTCCAGGTTATGATGGACTTTCCACCACTTACAATGACATTACCTGATGAATGTAAAGCATTTGTCATGAAGCATACGACACTCGTGGCTAACACTTCAAACTTGTAAGTGGCTGCTCGTGAAGCTTCAATTTACACAGGTGATTTCTTACCTCCTAAATTCTAAACGATCATTTTGTTTATGACAAATAATCTTTACCAGTTCTCTCATACTGTCAACATTTGGAATATCAAACTTAATATAAGTAATGTCTAGCCGATGGTTGTTTCTATTCGGTTTTCAATTATATAGTTCTATTTATTTTGTCATAATTTTTATAGGTTTGTAGCAAAATCTATGCTATGCTTCTCTTGATTATGAAGTAGAGCTATTGAGAAAAAAACACAAGCATCATTTCAAGCTGCAGGAGATGGATTGTTTACAATTTCAATAATACAGTTTCATACAGTAGATGTTTTTTTAAGCCACATCTTGCTGGAATGCAAGTTATTCGTATTTCTTGCAATAAGTTTACACCGACATGCATTCCCAAATTGACGATGTAGATATTCGTCGTAGATGTTTGTAGTCTACTGTAATCGTATTTTGTTTTTATATTTTCACTTAATTGTAGTTTAAGCATGCGTTTCATTTTTTGGTATAGACAAGTTATGTTTTTACATCGGGCTATAACTCTCTGTATAAAGCATTGTCATTCTGCAGAATTGTCGGGTGAAAGTGATTGATACAAAATTGTCGTTTTATCATAAGGAATCACATGCTTGCTAAGTTTATCAGGTAATTGTACAAATCACTTTTTCATATAAGCTATTGATTGAAACATACCCCTGTTGTAAAAAATAATACATACCCCTGCTCTTGAAATTGCTTCATACCCGTGCTATTGACTTTGTTTCATATTTAAAGAACAATTTCTTTAGATATTAGGTTAGTTATTTTAGTTGTTAGATTTTAATCAATCATTAGAATTGACCATTTAGTTTCATATTTTTTTGTCAACACTAGCCACTCAAAGATTAATCATAGAGACATGAAACCTCTCAGTCAACTCCTGCCATAGTTCCAAATGACATTGGTTCTAGATGTCAAGGCCCTTTATTCATTCTAAAAGTATTGGATAATTGTTTAGGTTGTTTGGGTTTCCATATTGTAGTTTTAAAAGTTTATACTATCATTTAATGTTACCTTTCCCAATCAAACATGACGGAAGTTTTATTGATCGTGATTATGACATAAAAATTACTATTAAATATGAAACATTGTCCTTATATAAGAAATCAAACTTCAGTTGAACCCCCTTTGATATCGAGGCCATTTGATCATGCATACGGAAGCTGCTTGGAAGAAGATGATATAAGCAACATAACTCAGATAAATAATTGGCCTTTTGCATCTGCTAAAGAATCTTCCAGCCAAGTCTCATCTATTAGATATATTCCAGCCAAACCTGCATTTATCAGGTATCGCTCAATACTACTATTTTCTGTCTCACATATGTCCGAGTTTATTACGATGGTGTAGTCTGATTTTTTTGTGCGTAGGTTTAGGCATCCCATTGTTTCTATCTGATCAAGAGGAATGTGTATCTGTACATGGAGAGTAGTAGTATGCCTAACATGTTATTGGGCTCTATTTTATCAATTTTGTATTGTGACATGGACGGCTCACCTCTATCTGAGTTTATTATGCTGCTGTTATGTGTTTGTCTGATTTTATGTGCGTAGGTTCTAGCATCCTTCTGCATAGAGGGATGATGTTAATCCTGACGACTTGTAACGCATGATATTTAATTAATTATTTAATTAAATAATTTCGAATTTACTTATGAAATTGGTTGATGTTGTGAAATGTCGATTTAAGTTGTTATGTGGTTATTTGATAAATTGGTTGATTTAAGTTGTAGAAATAATATTATTAATAATATTAGAATTGTAGAATATTAATAATATTAAGATGATATAAGGTTAATTGTGTTTTTCTATAACTTAACTTTATTAAAATAATTTTTGACATATAGATTAGACTTATAAATTTGTGTGACACGGTTAAATAATAAATTTATAAATTTAAGATTGTCATATGCAATAAGTGAGTTTATAATTAATAAACATAATGTTTTTTTAATCAAAATTATTATAAATTTTTTTCATCTCTATTTTACTATTTATTTCAAAATAAGACAATCTCTTATTTAGAAGGATGTTTTTGTATTTTTTTTTAATTTTATTTTTTTAACTCTAAATTTTTACTCTTAGAACACAAGTTAGTATTAATTATAAAATAAATATTTTATCTCTTCATTTTCTTTAAATACTTTCTTAGTAATTCAATTTAATGCACCTTAATAGAAAACAAATATATGTGCGTGCGTGGAGGGTTTAAGTTTGAAAATTTTGATTTTTATGACATATTTAATTAATTTTATTTATTTATTATCATAAAAAATACTAATAAATATTTTTTTAATAAGATTACAAATTTATTTTTTTTAAATTGAAAACTCAATAGTCGTGCCGACAACAAACTCAATAGTCGTGCCATCAACATAACCTATTTTAATGTAATTTACAATTCTCTTTATTTTTTGATAAGAAATTCTCTTTATTTAAAGAGATAAAATCTTTATTTTCAAATAGTAAACTTTCTTTTTTTTTCTTTCTCCATCTCTACAAACATTTTTTTCTCCTTTTTTTTGTATGTTTATGTAATAGAATTGATTTATAAAAAAGTTGGTGTAAAAAAATTTTGGTAAAACAAATTTATTTTTATTTTAAAAATATATATATTTTTTAAAATATGATCAAAATATTAAATACTAATTGAAACATGAAGTTATTGATAAAAAAATTATATATTAACGAGAACATAAAATTATTGATCAAAATATTAAATATTAACAAGAACATGAAGTTATTGATCAAACTATTGAATATTAACAAAAACATAAATTTACTAATCAAAATATTAAATATTAACGGGAACATGAAGTTACTAATCAAAATATTAAATATTAACGAGAATATTAAATTACTTATCAAAATGTTGAATATCAACGAAAACATGAAGTTAATGATAAAAGTATTAAATAATAACAGAAAAATGAATTTACTAATTCAAATATTGAATATTTACGAGAACATGATGTTATTAATCAAACTATTGAATATTAACAGAAACATGAAGTTACTGATCGAAATATTAAAAATTAATGAGAACATGAAGTTATTTATCAAAATATTTAATATTAAGGACAACGTAAAGTTACTCATAAAAATATTTAATATTAACAAGAACATGAAGTTACTGATTAAAATATTGAATATTAACGGAAATATTAAATTACTGATCAAAATATTAATATTAACGGGAACATGAAGTTACTGATCAAAATTGAATATTAACGAGAGCATAAAGTTTTTGATCAAAATATTGAATATTAACGGAAATATGAAGTTATTGATCAAACTATTGAATATTAATCAAACTATTAAGTATTAACGGGAACATGAAATTACTAATTAGAATATTTAATATTAACGGAAACATGAAGTTATGATCAAACTATTAAATATGAACGTTAACATAAAGTTACAGATTAAAATATTAAATAATAATAGAAAAAATTTACTTTTGGTTTAAATATTTTTGACAATAATTTCAAAGCAATAATATATATATATATATATATATATATATATATATATATATATATATATATATATATATATATATATATATATATATATATATATATATATATATATATATATATATATATATATATATATATATATATATATATATATATATATATATATATATATATATATATATATATATATATATATATATATATATAATTCAAATATTTTTATATATTAAAAGAATTATAGACATCAATTTATTATCTCTTTTAAAAAAGTTTAATTTATTTTTTTTATATTTTGGGAACAAATGCGTGTAGCATATGACCCTTCCAAAGAGTAAGTTTGACGAAAAGGGAGTTCCATATGATAAAAAAATTATCAAATTAGAAAACTAATTGTGTGTGTGCACGAAACATAACACGAATTGGCTTAGTCAAGATTGTTGATTAATTGAATATTAACGGGAACATGAAATTGTTGATTAAAATATTAAATATTAATATAAACGTAAAAATGTTGATCAAACTATTGAATATTAATGGGAACATGAAGTTACTGATCAAAATATTGAATATTAACGGGATTATGAAGTTACTGATCAAAACATTAAATATTAATGGGTACATGAAGTTGCTGATCAAAATATTGAATATTAACATGAACATGAAATTAATGATCAAAATATTTTTCCATTAATTAAGCATTCAATTAATTTCTTTTTCAATAACCATTAAAAATAATAACATTTTTAAAAGTCAATTTCATCATTTATAAAAGTTACAATAAAAAAATGTATATTAATGTTTTCATAAAGAAAGTATATTAGTTTTATGAAAATATTTATTGAAATAGTATTTATAAAAGTCAATATCATCATTAGTTTTTTTTATTATTATATTTTAATTTTATTTGTGCTTTTATATAATATACTAACTATTATTAAATATTTTATTTTGATTTAAATTTAATTTTGAGTTCAAATGCGTGTAACACAGCGGTATTCGTGCTAACGCACGAGTATCCCATTAGTTAAATCCATATGGGTTATTTCCCCCACTTACCAGATAAGGTATTCTCTCATATGAGGATGATAAGGGCTTGGTGCATAGGGGTTCACCATCACCTGTAAAGTGCCACAAACTCAAAAACCCTAGAAAGAAAACCTCACAAACTCACAAGGGCTTGGATCATATGTTAACCTCTTTGGTTTTTTGAAAAATAAATATATACTTAATAAAAAATATGGATATTAACCAGAGTGTAAAGAGTCCTGATATCATTTCCACCAACTTGAACTCTTGGAGGGTTCACTGTTTGAGAAGGTTTGAGCTCACCACTGAATTTGTAGGTGGATCTAAAACATCTCCAATTTCATTACCTACAACAAGAGGAATTGATGATTTCATACGCATGATTAGTAATGTATATATGCTTTGATAATCTTGCTCATTTCCTCTTACTATGCTCATGCTTTTATACATGCTTTGGACTTCCCTTTCATGAGATGAGCACTTGTCATCAATAAATTCTGTCTTTTCTTTCTACCTTGTTCCATTTTAATTATCCTCTTCTTAAATTTATTGTTATTGTATTTCTTTCTATCTTAGGAAGCAAATGTTAGAACCCCAACAAAACCAAGAAACCAAGAGAAGATAATAAAAGCTATAAAGGTTAAAGATAAACTAAAAATATATAATTTTTTTCATTCATTTGATGTCCTTTCAATGTCTCAATAGACTACATATATAGTACTCCTAATGGATAATTAACTAAAGCCAAAATTTATAAAAGCCCAATTCTACAACCTTTAAAGATCTTAAGAACATTCTAGAATCATTACAAAATAACAACTAATATAAAAATACTAAATAAATTATATTAACTCTCTATCATTGCCGCCAGATTCACTTGAACCTTATCCTCATGGTTCTAAATTGACTCCCGGATCCTATTGATTAAATTGAACAATCATAACATGAATTGTCCTAACTACATGCTATTATCCTCTCCAAATTAAACCTGCAAGCAACAGTTGTTTCAAGATATATTGCTGCCTTGAGCCATATCGAAAGAAAACTCACAGTTATGGCATTCTTCTCCCTCGACATTATGCTCACTAGTGTCTCAAAAATGAGTCTCTTTTCCTACTCTTCGTGTGCTTCAATCTCCTTTCTTTCTTTTCCATATATCTCCAAACTTATGAGATATTTTTGTGAATAAATCATTATAATAGGATCAATACCACATTAATTAAACCCTCTAGCCAGAATAGCAGTTAGAACTCTTTGAAAAAAACCAATTCTAAGAACGATAAGATCTTCAGTCCACCAATCAACAAATGGCCTCTGATTAGAACCAGTGGAAGAATTCATCACTCTTTAATTGCTACTACCATCACTTTTACCAGATGAACAAAATTGGCTCTCTTTCAATGCTATATATGCCACCGCATCTATGCATCTACTAACCCATTTTGCTTTCTCTGCAGTTGGAAAAAGCATTTCTGATATATGTAAGATAAATATTGCTCCTAACATACTCTTAAGTGCGACGTCATTCAAATAAGAATCAGTTCTTCCTTCCAAGTTTTCGACTGAATGTCATCTCAAGATACTCGATCACGCAGCGTAGCATATCAATATTTTCTATGCTTATTTCAAAGTTTATACCTCAACAGAACTTTGCTGCTAGTCCAAATGCTTCTGTTCCACCAGGGATGTCAATGAGTTCGATCAGCAGAATGCCTGAAGTAGCATCACTAGATTCTGAAATGAGCTTCCTTATGTATCCACTTTTGAAATTAATGGAAAGTTGTGTAATGAATACGAAGTTTCAGCAGTTTGAATAGTGACATCACTTGGAATCTCCTAAGAATAATTCCATTCACTTGTTCTCTTCACTTTGCATAAATCTAAGATAGGT